TACTATGGTTCCTTACTCAGGTTTTGTGAATGACTGCTTCAGGTCATGGGTGCTGTCTTCGTGGGGGCGTTGACAGACAAGACCAGCTCTGCCAGGAACTGTCTTTCAGCACTTAAAAACCACAGGGAGGAGATGCAGAAAATGCGAGCACCCTTCTGGTGGATGAAGTTTTGGTAAGCCCGCGGGCCATTTTCTTCTGGTGCACTTCTCCGGGAGGAGAAATTTGAAACAGAGGCCGAGTGTTGTCCAAAAAATATAAAAAGGAAAAACTAATTAGCTAGCCCCAAACACTTCTGTAGTTAGTATTCTACAAGTGTTCTTGGCTTATGCTGCAAGGAAATCAGTATGTAAGATTAAAACTTAAGCTAGGCAGTTGCAATAGCGTGGCCTACAGGATGGAAGACCACATTCATGTGTAACTTTGTTCTCTTTCTTTTAGGGGATAATTTACTAGCAAAGTATTTTAAAGATAAACATTTGGAGGGTAGGTTTGAAGCCTGACTTGAGGTGTCCTTTTTTAAACAGCAGTGCATTGCCAGTGAAGCAGATAACAAACATCAATGCACTCTTAGATTCTGAAGATCACTACAATTCCCTTGTGTGACCTGACCCCATTTATTTGTCAATTAATTTACATATTCACTGAGCAGGTTGTAAAGCAAAACTGGCTTTACTAGGTAAGGTTCTGGAAACCCCATTTAAGAATTGTAAAGCCCTTCTTATCTCTCTACAATATATAATATTCCACAGTTTCAGTGCCTTTTGAAAAATAATAAAGTCATAAAATGTGATATTAAAGTCTTTCCTTCTCCACTTTAAATTATTGTAACTCCTTTCACATTTCTCAACAAATTGGGGAACACTTTAACTCTTATATCTAACCTCATACAACCAAATCACTATTGATTATACTTTTGCAAACATCGGCACTGACATGTTATCATTTGATTAAAAACTATTTAACAATTGCAATTGCATACTGTGCTATGCTCAACAACAACTGTGTGCAATTACACAGCACTAAAAAAAAATACATATGAATAACTTTTGAGCTGAATGTGAATACAGACATGGAAATGTCCCTTAAAACAAAAAGCAAAGTAGAATATATTTCAATGAATATAATATTGTCTCTGGTATGTATCTACCTGCACATATATTAGATAAACTTTGAAGACATATGCATTTGTTTTAGGACACCTATATTTTTAATAAATAAAATACATGCATTTAAAATATTGATAACTTGTAAAACAGTAATCAGCATTCTAAGTTATGAATGTGTTTATAGTTTCCCATCTGAGGTATTAATATATTCCCATATTTCCAGATAATAAAACACAGAAAATTAATAACAAGAAAATAAATTGTTTTATATTATCCTGTTGTTACATTAATTC